TATAATCAAGATAATTATTATAATGATTATTATGAAGCAAACCCTGATCATACAATAAAATTAAAACAAGAAGAAGAAGATATTGTCTCTAATCCTAAAAAATATTCGTTTCATTATTTCATCGAAAAGAAATACATAACATTTATGTTTACCGAAAATCAAAATTTTACGAAATTGGAAATGTACGATACAAAAAACCCTATCTCAATCAGTGAATTGAATTCGTTAGGGTTTACCATTTTAATCAAAACCAAAGATAGTCAATTTTTAGATTTGTCTGAAGATAATTCATGTATCGAAATATATTCAACTGTTTTAGATTCATTAAAAATTTTATATCATGATAACATCATTTATGAACTTTAATTAATTATTTATTATTTATTATTTATTAATCAAATTATTATAAATAAAGATACCAAATTTTACATATTTCAATATTGAATTTACAAAAATAAAACAATATGCCTAACGTAACTCAAAATATGACTAATAGATGCCAATATTTAAACATATCTCTTAACGATCTTATAAGCAAAACAAATGAAAAACATGGTTATGTTGACAAAAAAACAATTAATAAAACATTACATGAATTATCCGAAGAACAAAAATCCAAAAATCGAAAAGAATATGATAAACGTAAAGAAGAAAAATATCTACAAAATTCTGTCATAAATTCATTTACAGATACCGAGAGTATTTTCTCACCAGATATTGTCACGTATGATTTATGTGAAAATGATGATCATAACCGTAAAAATGATAAGCATATTCTTTGCTTAATAGATGATGTATTTTTGTGTAAACAGATTGTCTGTGGTAACTCTATTATCGATAGAAAAGAAAAGGGAAATTTAATTTATCATTTGTAATTTTATTAATAATGTATGAATATTTAAACCATCAACATGTAACTTTCAAATTACCAAAATAAAATGAATTCGTTATCTTTTGAAATTCTTTCAATAATCTTTTCATTTTTGATTTATATCGATCGTGATAATTTTTTCAACTATGTTTTGGTTTCGAGATCATTTGCCGTAGCTTCTCTTCCTTATTTATGGGAAGATCCTTTTTATCCATGTGTCGGAAGAAACTATACGAGCTTACAAAAAATAATTTATTATTACTTATCTGAACACAACGATAAAAGTATTTTGTCTAACATTTATTCTTTTCAATTTGATAATGTGGAAAAACCCCTTTTCGATTATTTATCCTTTATCAGACAAATTCGTGTTGATAATATTTTTAATATCATTACTCACGGAATCGATTACCGAATTATCACATGTGAATACGATCTTGATAAAGATTGGAAAACCCTAGTAGTCCCAAAAACCGTTCTCAGATTAATATTCAACTATTCAAAAAAAATTACCTATTTTCAACTTCCAAACATAAATAAATCTGATATCACCAATCTTATAGTTAAATACACCAATCTTATTAATCATGATTCAAAACATATTCGATATATTTATCTAGATACCACCCGTCCTAGTGATTTACTTAAATTTAATAATTTATACGGAATCGCCCTTGGGTATAGAAAATGGAATTCTTCATTTTGTGTTTCTACCAATCTCCAGATTTTTAAACAAATCAATTCGGAATATATTACAAATATCAGGTTCAGAAATGTCAAATTTACCAATAAAGAAGAAGAAATATTGGATTATTTTAAATCATTAAAAAAATTAAGATGTCTTAGCTTTATTAATACAAATATTGACAACGTTAAAACTATTTATGAAAAATTTAAAGATTCAAAAACTTTAGTGTATTTAAAAATTATCTCGTGTAATCTTAGATATTTTGTTTTTACAGAAAATTTTCGCGATGAAATTTTTAACAATGAGAATATTGAAAACATCATTATTGGATTTGATTGGAAAGAAGAAAATTTCTTAATTGACAAAAGAAAATCTAATAAGAAATTCAAATGTATGATAACAAATCATTAATAATATAGATCTTCACATCCTTCATAATAACATTTCATATCAAAATCGTTATTAGTTAAATTTATGATTAGTGATTCGCAATTTAATTCGTTTTTCCAATGTAATGTTTCGTTAATTATCTTTTCGATTAATAAAACTTTATTTTCATTGTTATTATGTTTATTATTAGCATGAGAAAACACGAGAAAAAATAAAATGATGATCAATTTTATAAACTTCATTTTTTTTTAAAATTTTATTAACGAAATTCTCAAGTCATTTAAATATTTATTTTATTAAATTAAATTAATTACAAATTACAATTTTTATTATTAATAAAAGTTTGATATGTTATTAGCTACGTTTAAAAAACGCATTGTCCAGAGTCAACCAGCATGGAGGTTACATATCATATGACTCCTAAAACAATACAAAGAGCTTTCATCTATTTCAAGGGAGGGATATAACGGCCCCTAGACCATTACGTTATAAACCTTGACTACTTTGCTCAATGTTTAAATTTGACCAATGTCTTTACTCAAGTATATGAAGTAAAACCACGAATATAAAATTCTCCAAATTCAAATATACAAGGC